TACTGAAATGCAGTATAGCCTTTTCCGAGAACAACTTACTGTGCCTAGTGAAAGTTAAATTTTCCGAAGCGAACGTAAAATATAAAATAATCCTTCGGGGCACCCTGCCCGTTAACCGGTATATTTCGAATGCTCCCATTCGCAATTCGTACACAGACCAAAGAGTGTACACTAGCAGTGGCTCTTTATGTGATCATGGTTACATTGGCATAAACATTTAAATTAAAGTAAATTGTACTAGTCTGTGTAAGTATCTATTTCCTTGGACGCACGGGGACCCAGTCGTCCAAGGCGCCGTAATTCACTGTGCAGAGTTGCGTCCATTGGGTACGCCAGAAACCTATGCTGAGTTCGAATCCAGGTTGGCCCTGATTATGTTTCTAGGTTTGTCAGCACCATAGCCGTCCTCGCGGGTTTCATCAAGTTGGTAAAGGTTTGAGACCTGTATTACTACGGGCTTTCCTCCCGCATCAAGCTGACACGCCGTGATATACAAGAATACTGTCCAAAGCGGCGCCAAACACAATTCACCCACTCTAATGCATATGAGGAAGGTGATATTGTAACCGGATCGAAACTGTTATCGCAATATCAAGTAAGACCCAGTGTTGTCTTGGTAGGTTTATGGTAATATGTCAAAAACATGTCTGTTGCGCGAATTAACACTGATATTTATGTTACTACAGCTCTTGTTTCCCCGAAGTTACTCCCACAAAGGCAAACGGTAGATGGCACTCCTAGGTGATACCACTTATAGGGAATAGAACCATATTGGCAACGAGACCGTCGATCACTTTAACCAGAATTCCGTTTCCGTGAAGTATGTTAGTTCTATAACAATGGTGCTTCCAGTGGGATGGTCCTCATTGTTGCATGTCATCACGCTTGTTAATTTGACGCGGATATGCAGATGAGAGTGCATTGTATAACAAGCACCACATGGAAATGACAAATTGATTTTTGCATTTACTCTGTTGGTTGTGAGAAAACATCAATAATGATTGTTACATTTCAAGAACGTCTTTTATATTGTTTCATTAAAAAAAAAATTATTGTGTAAATTACTTTTTTTTTAAACAATAACCAATGAGGAACTCTCAAATCGATGCTACATGGCTCCTGTGCAATTCTTATATACTGCCGGGCAAAAGAAAGTATACACCACATTTGATGGTGGCTAAAAATGAAACAAACACGAAATTGTTATTTGAGCGCGATGTAAAGATACGGGCATCACAGTTGTGACGTCGCTATATAAGTGCAATAATCTTGGACGCGACGTTAAACCCAATTTCACCTCACAGTTGTGTATTTGGACCTTACATTTACACGACTGTTTTCAGCCTAGTAACGTTTGGGTAAAGTTTGTAATGTTTTGGTCAAATCCAATTTTCAAGTCTATACTTTCTTTAACCATCAACTATGGGTGTATACGTTCAATTTCCCGGCATACAGTATATTACCCATTTACCTTGATCGTTTACTGTGAGAAAAGCCACATGAAACATGTATTACTTTCTATCCTTGTAGCGGACGGTAGCTGTTATACAACACACATCAAGCGAATCTTTGAGTGGGGTCGTCGACAATGTCAGATTACATTATGGCGGTTGGGGTAAAGCAGTACACAAGCGACTCATCGGAATAAATAAATTTATTGTGCGTTTTTGAACTTAGACACAATGTAAAGAACAGATCGATGCTTGTATGTATTAGGTGTACTCGACATGCCTCATTGCTATTGTTACACGTTCAAGGACAGGGTCATGTAAGATTGAATGCGATTGGTGTTGCACGTCGTTTTAACGGTTTTGCATCTGTAACGCGTTGAGAGACAGAGCTCATACTGCGCTTAATTAAGGGAGTGGCCATTTTTTAAATGGGGCGGGGATTGGTTTGGTTTGGCAATATTCCAACTATATGACGGCGGTCTGTAAATAATCGTGTCTGGCTCAGACAATCCAGTGATTGACATCATGAGCATCGATCCACACAATTGGGATAGATGACATGCATCAACCAAGTCAGCGAGATTGGTCTTAGGATTAACATATTTTACCGAACCCCATTTTACGTCACATACCCATTCCCTATACTATATCACCAGACCCTAAATAATGTTCGTGTGAAGCCCATTTCTGGTGTCCCCCGCCGTGATATTGCTGGAATATTGCTAAAAGCGGCGTAAAACCATACTCACTCACTCACTCACTCACTAAATAATGTTCAATTTGTTTTATTTGAAAATATATTGAGCTCTCATTTTTAATTACCACCACCCCCTCCCTGTAATGTTTTCATGAACACCTCTCCCTAACCACCCAGCCCACCCCTCCCCTAGGATAAATGACCAGTTCTAACCATACCACGTGATACATCAAACCAGGAGGTTGGTGTTACTAGCGAAAGCTTTGGGCTGTCCGAGAAGTACAGAGAGATTATTGGTCCAAGTGCCAGGTAGAACCTAGATGTATTCCATTTTTAGTACATTACTTGTAGACTGACGGTTTTGATCGGTGTTCATGCCATCAACCACCGGTTTGCCTATCCCAGGTAGTTTACTGGTCGTGTGATATAGTTAGACCTTGTACGGCGTTCCAACACTTACCTCAATAGTATACAGACGTTTGCATTACATCATAAGTAGTAGCAGGATCACTCGGGGTATGTAAGGTTTTATGCGTCCCACTTTAGGTTTTATACCACCCTATGTATCACATGTACCATGTAGTGATTCTGCTACAACGAATTTATATTACCGATATGTTTTAATACTATTATGACATTTTAAAAGAATTTAAACAAATTCAAAATTGATAGAAAACAGCTGTTCGATTGAGCGGAAGTAAGCTTGTTCTATGACAAGTGACTTTCAGTTCCTCGGAAAAAGCGTGCGGCTATTTGCTTGGGAGCGGGGTATAATGGATTTATTCTGCCTCTCAGAAATCCACGCGCAGCCTGTATTGCTCGTGGCGGGGTATAAGGGATTTATACTTCCGCTGAGAAATGTATTACCCTACAAGGGGTGTTACACAGTATTCTATCAAAATCAAGATCAAGGACCAATCAGGTCTCATCATTCTGACATGGAGGTATGATAAAATCTATTGATCCAGATGTCCCGGTCTATTTTACTGTGTACTTGTGTACCTATAGGACGTCGGGTTAACGAGGTTTTACTCTGTCATGTATGCGTAATTTAGAGATTTATGTATTGCTGCTGAATGTGAAATGTAACAGGCCTCTCATAACCGGCACACGCGAAACCAGAGATCTTAAAATATATATTTTATGGCCTCAGGCGAAAAGTAATTTTTTAAACAGTAGCCAATATGTTCATTTCGGCGTTCTTTTTGCGTATTTTCTAAAACACTATAAAGTATTCTAGGGTTATTGATGACGTTTCAGATTGATCATTGGTGATTGATTTGATACTGTACAGATACCCGTGGTCACTAATGTGATATGTTTCTTATTGAATTATCCGAGTAAATAACCGATAAATAGATTTCCAAATATACACGAAATTACGCCGAGGATGGTGATTCAGTAAAATGTCAAAAATATTATCAATGAACCTAATTTTCAGTAATTTTGCTGCCTACAATGACTGCGAGTGAACAGAAAATTTTCCTCAGAATTAAAAAATGCGAAGTGTATTTGTGCGCGTGATTTATGTTATGTTTTATTCGACTTCAAAGTGAGGGTTTAAGAGAAGGGACATATATGTCCCTGCATCTTCCTGAGGCAAGGGCGTTAACTAACTATAAAAGTCCAGTTTACACCCTTGCCGAACTAGGATGGAATTCCCAGGCTCGATCGTTGCGCCACTGATGGCTATTACGAGTCCATTCTACAGTATGTTCTACAGTACCGGTCAAGATGATCTGCTCGATAGTCAAGATCTGTATTGTAATAAAACGGGTCTTACCCCGCAAAGTGCATCAAATCACTTGAGCACCTTCATTAAAAACCTGAAAGAATTTGCAAAAAATCTGTCTACGCCCAGTTGGCGGTACATATGCTTTGCAAATCCTGCAGTCAACCGAAATCTGCACGTTAAAATCCATGTATTTTAGGAACTGGGTGTCTCGTTCGTTACGCGATTTTGATTAGACTATGCATAGACTCGTTAGTCCAGCCAAAATGTAACTACATAATTGCAGCCTTGTTCTGCCAGGGTGGAAACTGGACTTTTAACTCCCTTGCCTCGGGAAGATGATGTCCCTGTGGCATCCATGAGGTTAAACCGACGTCATATAGGTACCTTCAAATATTTGTCGTGCTATCGGTATTTCGAGACAAACGGAATGTCGACATTGTATTTCTGCCAAAGATTCTACCGGATCCAGATATTTATCAAGTTAGGTTTCGATGTATATCACATATACAAATATGAACAACCAAAAATGGACCGGTTTTACAAAGCGATGTTAGCCCTACGACTGACGTACGTCTGTGTAAAAGTATAGAAGTTACGACGGCCGTAACGCTACCCTTGTCGTACCTACCATACCTCGACACAGACTAATAATAGTCGTAGCTCAACGATCGCTTTGAAAATATCCCATTGACTAACATCTAGTCCCAGAAATAAAGTAAGCTTAGTTAAAAATATATATCTACAAAATATATAATATAAATCCAAATGGAGCCCAGAACAATGCTTAATATTAACTGAGGCAATTTAGTCTTACCACACTTTCTAAACTTGAGTGGGATTCATTTCCTAATTTATTCTCTAGGGTATGGGAGACAGGCAGGGTAACAACAAGTACCATATTTTAACGCGTTTTGGTAAGACGCGGCCGGGGATCGAAACCCCGACCTTCCGCTCTATCCACTAGACCACGGAGGCGGAGAACTTTTTTAACCAGTGAAACTCATGTCCGCCGTAGACAACAAAACCAAAAAAGCACTGGTTTTATTCAACGAAAACGTCCAGCTTTTTGCAGGTTAATATATGATGATATAACGTTATATAAACACAGACAGGCAGATTTATATAATGTGCATATGACTGCATATTTAATATCGGAGCATTTATACATAGACATGTAATTTCAAAGACACTTAAGAATATATCATTACTAAAGCCTTTCCATTTAACCAACAACCCTTCAGAGTGGGGACTGTAACAAAAAGCTAATTGACTCTGGACGATTGGAAACAGCTTGGTTGTAATTCATTGCCAATTCCGCCCACCAATAATATGAAAACAACTTTTTTTCCGGATTGGGTGTGCTTAAAGCTATAGCTACCATTAACGTAACTGATGTTTTTTCATGTTACGAGCAAAAATAAGCTATTGCAAAAACGCTTCTGGTTTTCCAATAATGAGGAAATTGTTTGAACTGAAATTTACACTATTGGAACAATACTTCCTATTTGTAAATAGTATCTGATCGATATTGGAAGTGTTGATTATCTCTTCGATTTCACTTCTATAGATTTTCTCTTTGGTATTTGATCCTGTTTGTCAGGTTTAGTTGGTTGTATATTTAGCTAAGGCCAAGCTTTGTGATACACAACACATATACACATATACGCACACAACAGACACAATGGTGGTAAATATCTATAGGTTGACGTGGGTTGATCATATCCGGGTACTTTAGAGTTCCTGGAAGATGCAAGAAGTAGATGCGGCCACATCGACCCGCTTCACCCTGACTAGAAGCATGATCCCTGGGGTTAGCACACCAAATAATTCAGAAACGTCAGGAAGAGATGTCGACAGCAAAAACCCAATCCACAGAGCGATCTTAGCGCTAAGACGATCGTAACCCTATACTTTAACATGGAGACTGACATCGTTGTGTTAAGATCGCGGAACGGCACCCTAACCATGTTTCACCCAAGCTGGGTTTTCGAAACTAAAGTTGCACTCGCGGAGGGTGGTGGGTGGTGGGTGGTGGGTGGGAGTCTAACCCCGTTTTATCATACGCCCTGGGATGGTGAGAGATACTTGTGGACCCTGTCCCCCGTAATTATAACACCAGGCACGCTAACAACAAGATGTTACCCCTGGGGATGGAAGGGCGGTGTGGGATACTGGGTTTGTCCCCCGTAACTATAACACCAGGAACGCTAACCCCTAGAAAGAAAGGACTGCGTTGGATACACGTGGATCCCGTATCGTTACTTCCAAACCTGACAACCCCCTGATGTTACCCCCGGGGAAGGGAAGGACCAATACTCACAGGCGCATACACCGTCAGTCGCCGTCACTGACCCAGTCCACGACCACTTCCTGTGTGCGCCGTCAGTGAGTGAGTATGGTCTTACGCCGCTTTTAGCAAAATTCCAGCAATATCACGGCGGGAGACACCAGAAATTGGCTTCACACATTGTACCCATGTCGGGAATCGAACCCGTGTCTTCGGCGTGACGAGCAACGCTTTAACCACTAGGCTACCCGACCGCCCCTTGTTCGCCGTCAGTGTTACACCCTTCTCTGCTTAATATAGCAGTTATTTGCCTGACACCTTTCTCTCTCGTTCATACACTTAGTCATCCAACCATAAATTTATATTTAGCTCTTCTAAAACGATTAAGGTGCTGTTTTCGGTACCAGTTTCTATCTAGTACTAATTCGTTTACTGATACCAAGCACGGACGCTAGATTAAGGAATCTAAAAAATCATCAGGTAACTGAAACAGTTGGTTACCCGGCAAAAAGATTTGTGTTTATTACGAATTCATATACCAATAAACCCTTTGTATTCTTTAATGACTGATCCTGTTCTGTGGTCTTGGTTCTTACACTACATGTTGTAGCCGGCGAAGGCGAAATATCACTCTTCATCTTGGTTATAAGTTCTGTGCGTCATAAATATTTGTTTATTTCCGCAATACACTGCGTGTGAACCGGCGTATTGACGGTTTTGGATAGCGGTTGAAGAAAATCTGTGAAGTACGAATAGTAAGGACCGGACAGGAAGTCGGTGTTAGCGGTGATTGCGCATGACAGCACAGGATGATTATATGTATATAGTAAAGGCACGTGACACATGGAGAGCGAGGTTATTGGTTCTCGATGATGTACTGGGCGAACTCTGAAAAATACAAATGAACATATTTGAATGAACATGGTGAAATAAATATATAGAACATATCCGGCTTTTGCCGGACTCGAATTTCCGATGACGTCAAGGTGATGTTTCATGGGTAATAATGTCACTTGGTTTCCCTATTCACGTTCCAGTACTGTAACGGAATATACGCAATTTCATCAATATGATTTCTTCGGCGCAATATGCGCAACTTTTCTGATCTTAAAATGTGTACAGCAGTTCTTGTTCGTTGTCAGTCGTCTCATTCCTTGGCTAACCGAGTGGTTACTCGGCCCCACTCGCCCCTTTCCGAAAATGGCCTTTCAGGTTGTCCCGGAACGACACAAGTAGTAACGAACGGTTCAATGGTGTCTACCATTCGTGACCAACTCGTGTTATTCCGGGACAAGCCGAATCGCGACTCGTGCCCATCTCGTGGCCATTTTTGCGACCGGGTTCCGTCTTAGCGCAAACGGGCATACTTAAAACAATTGTCAACTCGTTACGTAATGGTTCACACATTTTCCCCATATATTATATATATATATCAGATGCAATTTAAAGCACATCAGGTCGTGCGAAATTATGCAGTATGATTGAACACATTTAACTGTGTCTTTGGTATATTTTTAGATGCAAGACATATGTAAAATCAAAATTTATTTCTGAGGGATTCATTGACGAAGAACTTGAAATCATACGCACATTCTGATTGGTTTGTCGTATTTCGCACATAACATTTATCGACAGGGGGACGAGTCTTCTTGCAGGTTACGGAAAGGGGCGAGTGGTGACGAATGTGGTGTCTACCGGATTACAGAAAAGGGTCATCCTTGATTGCCTGTTTGAATACACGTTTCGTTTCATTCGCACTAATCCAGATCAGTGAGAAAGTTGGTTCTGACGCCGATTTGAACCATATTCAGTTATAACCCGGGCGCTCAGCTTTACGGTGAGAGGAACGCTCAAAGTCACACAGATTGAATGCCTTTACAGTTAGTTTGAAACGCTCGAGATCGGCTTTGGTCAATCATTTTAAAATCGGATCCTAGTTTTGCTACCGCTAAACAAAGATCTGAGGACGTATCAATATAGGTCACGTCAGAATAACCTTTCATGCGACCATTCACAGACGTACATGGATGTATGTACGTCTTTGGTCCAATTAGAGCGTCGCTAACCAGATCATGAACGTTACAGTCGGAATGTGTGTTCTGATCAAGCAGCCTCGAAAAGGTTAACATGAGGGATTCCGAACAAGTGTCTTTCTTTCGCTTCAATAGTATAAAGATTTGAAACGGAACAGACTTTCATAGACCGTGGGAAGTAATGCCATACAATATCGCCCATCTATTAAACATTCCAGAATTTTCTTTAGTTCAGTTTTCAAAGTCTAAATCGATATTTATCGAAGCGTTGCCTGGGAAGGAAGCCACCAGGTTGAAACTAGTGCCTTAAAGCTCGAGAAAGCTGCTTTCTGATTGGCTAACGTCGACTTCATTTCATTGGACGGTCACAGTTTGTGAAAGTTCATTGTGACGAGACTAAGACGTTTCTGACGTGTAGCGAGAACTAAGATCTGATTTGAATGAGATTGGGCTTTCGTGACAACAAACCAAGGTTCATAATCTGCGGGGCAAATGCGAACCAGCGATCACTGGCTAAGGGTCTCAATTCTTCACAGAGAGATGCTGCTGATGAACCGCGCCGCCTTACCAACTAGGCCCAGCAGGCTCATCAGAGATTTCCGACTGGAATAGTCACACTATATTTGAAGACCATTTGAATAATTGTCCACATCTAATTTGACACTTTAATTCTTTTTCTTTTTCCACAATAGAACCTGAATAACCCTATCACTTTAAAACTCGCTGTAATATTTGAAGTTCACTGCCGTCATATAGCTGGACAATTGCTGAGTGCGGCGTTAAACAACAAACAAACAAACAAACAAAACAAAACAAAACAAACAAACGATGAGGTTTATGGTCCTCGCAGAATCCTAAAATATCCTGTGGGGATTCCGGCTAAAGACATGGGAGAATAAAAGGATCGGTTGGTCAAGCTCGGTGACTTAGTTGAAAGTTTGTCACCTAGCGCCCTTGCTCATAATATTAATTACTGGTTTGTCTGGTCAAGACTCGCTCATTTAGGGACCGCCGCGACTTGGCTAGGCTATTACTGAGTGCGGCGATAAACAACATACGAAAGGCCTAGCCAGATCATGATCAGTCCAAAGTACGCGATGCTTATATACTCTTCTGATTCTTGTGAATCCAGCAATATTTTCATCAGTTCTAAAAACTGCTTTCAATAATCTTATGGTCTTCCACATTAATATCACCCCTTTTGCTTGTCTGATTTCATGAAGGCGCTAAATCCTGGCTTGCTACCAACACAGTGTGACCAAACTAATATTTGTCAATATTGATAGCATTGATCGTGATGCCAGGGTAGTCGGGCGTACAGATGAATGAATACAGCACTCAGAGCTAGCGGCATATCGCTTAGTTATACACTGGCCTGGATTATACACTGACTTGTATTAGGTGGCAAACAGTTTAATAATAGCCGTGAAGATGAGATAAGGGTCTGATTAATTGTTGGAAATACTCCGGCAGGAACAGCAAATAATGCATGGCCCTGTTAGTGATATCCGTTTTGTTCGGCATTATACAAAATAACGTCTTTTATTTCGTTGCCCCACTTTAGGAAATTGTATTATAGCGAATATACCATCTTTCAGGGTTTTATCCTCAACAGGATGTGATATTAATACTGAAATCAAATATTCATATCTGATCAATTTTTGAACAATGGATCCTATACATCACACCGCTGCTCACAACCGTGTGACGCCGAATTCCGCCATGAAATCATAAACGGAGGAGCCTAAAGAAACTATACCTCTCAGTATGTTATCATATGTTTGATATTCAATTGGAAATATCTGTAGTTAGCAATATTAAATCCAAAATAATGAAGTGAAATGTCGCTTAGTCAGCACTCGAAAATACCATCTACATGGTTTGTTTTTAAAAAATATATTTTGTTTTAAATCTTTTATCGCACATTACACAACTGGTGATGGGTTTCTTAGACATCTTATCTTTGAAAATCAATATAAGTACCACACTCAGCGTTAACTAAGTCGTCTATTATGAGTACTTCGTAAAAATGATACAGGACATGTACCTTTCATGCAGAGGACCCCGTCCCCATCTTTGTCTGCGCATCTGATGATGTCGTCGGCGTCGGCGTCCGTGAGCGGCTTCTCACCCATCCACTTCATCCCCTCCTGCAGCTCCCGCCGACAGATGTAGCCGTCCTTGTTTGTGTCGAACTTCTACACAGACAGACAAGATTGTCAGCCAGGTCCACATGTAGCATCACGGGCTAAGGCTGCCATTGTACCTTGTTTATTTAATGCATATAAAACCACAAGAACCATCAAACATATGCAAAATCGTCATCAACGTTGCATAATCGATTTAAAACTTCATCACTTCACATCAACAATTGAAAGTTAAAATTCCCCGACGCATATCAGAATACATATATAGTATCAATGCTTATAGCTTTGTTTGTTTGTTTGTTTGTTTATTTGTTGTTTAACGTCATACTCAGCAATATTCCAGCTATACGACAACTATCTGTAAATAATCGAGTCTGACATCATGAGCATCGATACACACTATTGGGATACGTAGACATGCATCAACCAAGTCAGCAAGCCTGACCATCCGATCCCGTTAGTCGCCTCTTACGACAAGCAGAGTCGCCTTTTACGACAAGCATGGGTTGCTGAATATCTATGCTTATAGTTAATCATATTCATAAAAAAGCTTTTATTCATGATCAAATCTAATTAGCTTTCCCGATGACGTCACTGGGCTGTAAACTATAGTACCGCACCACAGGGGTTAAGTATGTTATAAATAGCTTTTGTCAACCGAAGTATGACGTAAATCGGTTATTTGTGCTGACATATCAAACAAAGTTAACCTGGGCTATACCGTGGCCAACGCGGGCTCACCAGAGTTGCCCAAGGTTTTGAAATTGAACGCGAGCACTGTCATTGCAATCGTCAGTGACTGTTGGGTCGCACACTCGGCTATCATTCTCAATAGGTAATTGATAAAGCAGTTTCCTGCATTTAGACGTCATAGGTGAGGTGAAATGGGTTTTTTAATGTCGCGTTCAAGGTTGTTGCGCTTATATAGCGACGTTTAGTCGTCATAACTACAAACTAAAATGCATTATTAATCCAGGATTAGGAAATCGGTTCTGTTAACAATAAAGTGCAATGGTGTGATCAAAACGATGATTGCACAGAGGGAAAAACAACGGTTTGAGGATTAACGTATATGACATTTTTACATTCCTTTATTAAAACAACTGGCAAACACCAATCAACCGTGACTAACATGTGCCAAGTGCCCCGGTTGGGTGTCCGTCGCAAAATAAATAAAAAAGATGTCCGGAATAGCAATAAAAAAGAACCCGTTTGGGCCATTTTGACTTTTGACCGTTTTGCCTTTTTAATACCCGTTTTGACGTGTGGCCGTCCCAACATAATAGAATGGACATAAATTACACTGTAAAATGGAGGGTGAACAGGGAGTGTCAGGAAATGAATGCTATATCTGCTTTGCGAGATTGATCAGGATAGAAAATACATAATGCAACAATGCGTTTGAATGTACTCTCAACTCCCTGGGGAGAGTCCGACGATAAGCATGTTTCCGTGCGCCAGTCGCATAATGCCGTGCCTGTGGCACACCATCACCTCATGCATCTTTCATATCTGTGAATAGTATCTGATTCAATAGATCTGCCCGAACCGCCACAACAGTTTTCATGGTATTTCAACCCCACTGTTCCAAATCAGTTTTATTTTGGTAATTTACAAGGACGTAAATCAAAACCAGAATTGATCATCTTGATTCCCATATCGACCCTGCATGTTTTGAAAGGTAACATTAAAACCAGGTTTTCATTGGCACGCAACTAAACTACCTCAAAATGGCTCTTTGATGACGTGATCCATGCCTGGTAATGTTCACACGCTGTGAGTTGTCTACTTACTGCAAAGGTCTCTCTGATCTCGGTCTCAAGTGCTTTATTTTCTTTGTACTTTACCGCCATCATTTCTGCAAACTCTTCGAATTCAATCGACCCGCTGTCTGCAATACAATTTACAAGCACACCGTTAGTCTGAAATTCACAGAAATCTAATCAATGTCACGATAAAACAGGTCATGTCTTCACAGGGGGCGGTCGGGTAGCCTAGTGGTTAAAGCGTTCGCTCGTCACGCCGAAGACCCGGGTTCGATTGCCGACATGGGTACAATGTGTGAAGCCCATTTCTGGTGTCCCCCGCCGTGATATTGCTGGAATATTGCTAAAAGCGGCGTAAAACCATACCCACTCACTCACTTTACAGAGTTGGACTAAAACAAGTGGGTGAGTGAGTAAGTTGGATTCAACGAATCAACGAATATGGTTTTACGCCGCTTTAGAAATATTCCAGCCGTAATAGGGAAGGGGGACACTAGAAATGGGCTTCACACACAGGAAAGGAATAGGAAAGCCCGAAGTGATGCAATTCTTAGACGTTTACCACTTTGGTGAATCCCACGAGCACGGGTATGGTGTAGAGTAACATATAGTCCCTGTTTAAGTTCTGTTTAAGGTTAAATAAAACTAATTCTAAAAGCGAGCCCTTCAGTATTATCGAACCCTCAAATGGAATGGAGTGATTGCTCTGATGTCTGTTACAGGGACTAGGATATGGTGCTGATAAACCTAGAAACATGATCATGACGAACCGGGATTCGAACCCACATTATAGGAATCTGGCGTGCTGAAGGGACGCAACTCTGCACACCGAACAGCGACACCTTATACAGATGACTGACCACGCTTACCCCAGACTCAAAAGAACTAATACCACATCCCAAGAATTCGCATGTGTACGCCTTTATGGGATCTTCGAATATATACCATTTATACGAATACTATTAAGGAAAGGAATATGTTAAAGTTGAAAAAAAGTGAGGGAGCTGTATGTTGAGCTATATTTCAGCTATACCATGGCGATGAACACGTTTGAAGAATAGTCTCGAACACGAGCAAACGCTTTACCACAAGGCCCCATTGCCCTTGATAACAAATATAACCTGAGGGTACTCTATGAAACAGAGGAAGACACTGGTATAACGCAACGCTTAAACCATCACTTGAAATATACACTACTGTTATAAAACGAAACTAGTTAATTTCTAGAAAAACAGAATTCTGTGTTCCACAAAAAGCCATTTAAACGCTCTCACGTCATTCATTGCAATAGCTATCTAGAACTTTGTGATGATAGACGCCATTCAACTGATAAACAAACGAGTATTAATGACATCCCATGTGAGTCCAAAGCGCTGGCAAAATGGCAACTATTGACTCTGACCGCTGATAATTTGGTTTTGTAAAAACGTAAAGGTAACTGTTTTGCACTTATGATAAAATGATCGCTTCTATAGAGGGGAAACCATTCATGATATTCAAACCAGGTAATAACGTCACGCCTATTGAACAAAAAAAACAGTGGAAAGATAGCTGCCCTTAGATATATCCGAGGTACCGTATTTCCTCGAGTAAACTCCGGAGTCTTGATTAAACGCCGGGCCGCGATTAAACGCCGGGAAGTTTGTATGCATGGAATTCTCCGTATGGTTACCTTTGCGATTAAACGCCGGGGGTAAAGAGTGTCTAAAAGAAATATACGCCCTGGCGTTTAATAGAGGAAATACGGTAGTCGAACAGCACGTTACTTTGTTCTCCGTAGTTTAGTACATATTGTAACCTTTGGCAGGAAATATCGATGTATCATACAACGCTTGGAGGTGAATAATATTGACACTGACACTAAACGTGGTCCATATGTACTACAACAAATAACGTGCATACACACACTTGAGGCATTCAAGGACAATCTTTTATATATATCTGGGATTCGACCAGGTGTTTCGCCGTTCCAGCAGTATTCTTGTCATCTCCCGATGGGAGACACCTCAAGGAGGCTTCGTACATTGTTCCTATGTGGGGATTCTAAACGGTCATTTGGCCTGACGAGCGAGCATTGTAATGTTTATTATATGGTCGAAGCTGTATATATGCAAGGAAGTAAACATGTTTTGAACATTTACATTATTATGTATATTGAGATAAAGATGTGTTTTTGTCTTCGTTTAATGATAAATTCAGTTTTGCATTTCATACGTGAGTTAATGAGAAGGTATTATTTTACGCCGCTTTGAGGAGTATTCCATCCATATCGCGACAGGTGGACATACGCAAGTGGAGCTTCGGGCATCTAATACGTTCTGTCAAGATCTGTGGAGTGAAGAAGAGTGAGTGAGTATGGTTTTACGCCGCTTTTAGCAATATTCCAGCAATATCACGGCGGGGGACACCAGAAATGGGCTTCATACATTGTACCCATGTCGGGAATCGAACCCGGGTCTTCGGCGTGACGAGCGAACGCTTTAACCACTAGGCTACCCGACCGCCCCTGAACTTGAAGACATGTGCAGTGGTATGTTCGACATATCCGTCCTCAGTCGACGCCCACAGAGCTTCCGGTTCACGGGTTGGTCACATTGGAAGACGTCTCAAACATGTGTGACTAAAGTCTTCTGTGTTCCTCATCAGCTGACACTGACGTATTTTACTCACTAACCCATACATCCAACAGAACGCCCGTTGCGTGCTACAGTAAGTCAATGTTAAGTCCTGTTTAACAAAGCTCAGCGACAAACGTTTGATAGTTTCGTCTGTCGTATTTCTCCGACAAGCGTTTGATAGTTTCGTCTGTCGTATTTCTCCGACAAGCGTTTGATAGTTTCGTCTGTCGTATTTCTCCGACAAGCGTTTGATAGTTTCGTCTGTCGATTCTCTCTGACAAGCATTTGATAGTTTCGCCTGTCGTATTTCTCCGACAAGCGTGTGATAGTTTCATCAGTCGTATCTCTCTGAAAAGCGTGTGACAGTTTCGTCACTCGGATCTCAGAGCATCACATATATTGTCACGCCGAAAACGAGGTTTAGAATACCCACATGGTTACAATGTGTCAAGCACATCTTTGTTATCGCCCGTCAATAATGGCCAAACTATTGCTACGAACGGAATACAACTAATGTCACTCACACACACTCGTCCAATCTTACAAATGTTTGTTTGTTGTTTAACCCCGCACTCAGCAAAATCCCAGCTAGACGACGTCGGTCTGTAAATAATCGAGTCTGGACCAGGAATTCCAGTGCTTGACTTCACGAGCATCGATCCACGCAATTAGGATACGATGACATCAATCAGCCAAGTCAGCGAGCCTGACCACCCAATCCCGTTAGTCGCCTCTTACGACAAGCATGGGTTGCTGAAGACCAATTCTAACCCAGATCTTCACGGGTATGAATCTCACAGAAATATTCTTAGCAATAATGTCCACGGCACATGCAATATGCTCACTTCAATGGAAAAGCATTAATTGCCTTGTGGAAAGGAAATATATATGCAACACTAAAACCTATGCAATGTTCGTCAGAAGCCACGACCCCACCAAACTGAGGAACAAAAGAAACTGGACCTCTGATTTTATCATGTTATATTTTCAGTTGAAATTAGTCAGCACTCAAATAATACTTCTACATGGTTTTATTTTTTTATAATTTAATTTGGTTTAAAACTTTTAATGATGATATTTTCCCGCATAATACTCAGCTACTGATGGGTGTCTTAGACATCTCGTCTTTGAAAATAAAAAAAGTTACTTTTCTCGGCACAAATTTACAACATTTCAAACATTTTAGGGGTCGTGTGGTTGCACATTTCTGAAATTTCTTATGAGATACGGACCCAGGAGCATAAGCGAAGCACATTTGCACAACGAACTCCAGTCTCATTGTATAGCGCTACGCCCGTGTGACGCTAAGAACCAAGCACATTCGTTACATTTCGTTCGATAAGTCAAAGCCTACAAGGACATCGTACCGCGCACCCATCGCATCTACGCTTCGAACGATTAAATGTCATACATCACAAAGCATTTTACTTATGACCCTCAAGACTAGTGAATAATACATCCCCTGTATGCAGTAGATACGCTTATTGATTATCAGAACCAAAGGTTACCTAAATGTTCGTCTAATAGCGAAACAATCCTATTCAAGCCTCAAGGTAGTTAACGCATCAGAAGTCAGAGATGTTGGAAAGAAGAGTGCACTTCGCCTCCCAGATGCAGAGAAGCTCCTTTTGTTTAGGCGCATAATCTCATAATCTTTAAACGTTCTAAGATGTGATCTTTGATAAGCTCAGAACGCTTGCACAGTTGGACCCAATGATAAGAAAGGCACTCGGAGGAAACCATTGGCCCGTGCAAAGACATGCTTGTGTTAACTCACTAACAATACATGCACACACTGCAGTCAACTGCAAACAACCTGCTCTTATGGTAAATAATATCACGAGAAATCCCTATTGAGTGCACCATCGAGGACATTCTCAGGTTTTCTATACTCTTACCAGAGGACTACCATGTATTTACTTGATGCCACGTACATGCTCCGCTGACAAGCTGTGTGAACATGCTCTTGCTCCAGGTGCAGTTGAGGGTCAGTGATTCATTATGTCCTGACCTAAGGGCCCACGGGATCGATAGGAATCTACAGTCCTACAGGGTTGATAGTAGCTCGAATGCCTACAGGGTTGATAGTAGCTCGAATGCCTACAGGGTTGATAGTAGCTCTAAAGCCTACAGGGTTGATAATAGCTCGAAGGCCAACAGGATTTATAGTAGCTCGAAGGCATACAGGGTTGATAGTAGCTCTAAAGCCTAGAGGATTGATAGAAGCTCGAAGGCATACATGGTTGATAGTAGCCCTAAAGCCTACAGGGTTGATAGTAGCTCGAAGACCTACATGATTGATAGTAGCTCGAATGCCTACAGGGTTGATAGTAGCTCTTAAGCCTACATGACTGATAGTAGCTCGAAGGCCAACAGGATTGATAGTAGCTGGAAGGCCTACAGGGTTGATAGTAGATCTAAAGCCTAGAGGATTGATAGTAGCTCGAAGGCCCAGAGGATTGATAGTAGCTCGAAGGCATACAGGGTTGATAGTAGCCCTAAAGCCAACAGGGTTGATAGTAGCTCGAAGACCTACAGGATTGATAGTAGCTCGAAGGCCAACAGGGTTGATAGTAGCTCTAAAGCCTACACAGTTGGTAGTAGCTCGAAGATCTGCAGGATTGATAGTAGCTCGAAGGCCAACAGGGTTGAAAGTAGCTCTAAAGCCTACAAGGTTGATAGTAGCTCTAAAGCCTACATGATTAACAATAGCTCGAAAGCCTTCAAGACCGTTACTACTGTCCGAAAGGGTTGTAAATAACCTGGATAAGACAATCCAGGGATTGATATTATGAGCAACGATCCACGCCACCGGGGTCAGATGACACGCATTCAACCAAGTCACCAAGCCTGACCACCCGATCTATTAAGTCGGCCCTTATAATAATAGCTTCCTGCGGACCAATTCTAACCCGGAATCCCCCGGGGTCAAAGTGCTGTCTTTTATTATCGTGGCCTAGAAGCCTACTTTATTGAATATAGTAGCCCTTAAAAATGAAGCTTACAGGATTCATTGGTGAAACCAGATCTCCTAAACTGCACACACAAAGCCTCCCTTACTAACAGACAATGAGTGAGTAGAGGTTTACGTACTATCGAGGTCGGCTTTGGCTATCATGTCCTTAATCTCCTGGTCGGAGGAGCGGCACTTGTTCTGGGTCATCACGTCCTTGAACTCTTCGTGAGAGATGCTGCCACTATTGTCACGGTCCATCAAACGAAACGTCTTCTGAAAATCTGGAAATATCAAAATGTTCAGTCAGAAAACACATCATTGTTTCAACATCACGATTGTCTGGGGTCTGACCAAGTTCAAAAACAAATCTTTATCACCTCACAACTTCTGCCAACTCCGTCAATCTAGCAGTAACCTCCTCATTAATTACGTCTTGTCCGGAAACAAGATTCAGACAGCGACATCGCCCCTTCACAGCCCTGGGCACCGTTCCACAAAGCGATCTTAGCGTTACGACTATCGTAAGCCGGTGTTAAAGTATGGGACTTACGATCACCTTAGCGCTAGGATGGCTTTGTGGAACGGGGCCCTAGTGCCTAGATCTTGCAATATTACGAGATTTCGAACGAGGGAACATATTTTGTTTTCACTAAACTACGATGCCTGCCGATTAAATGCGCTATGCCATAAACTGAAATTGAGACTACGACACATCCATGTGATCTTTGTAAAACCTCACTAAGTCTGTGGAGAGATGACACATGTTAGAGACAACTGCAGTGTAATAACAACACACAAAAACATGAACAAAATACAACAAAACTCGTTGCATGGTTGAAACTGACGTTGTGCGTCATATCCAATTATACGATATAGCACATATCTGAAATACATTGTTTTGAACGCTTAAAAAACACTAACACTGTGGTCGATAAAGTGAAGCTCTTCATCAATATTATTTCTATCAATGTTTTTCACCTTTTGTCTCGAGGAATATATTGATTTGGAAAGACATCTAACAATATACAGAACATTATTTACACTCAAAGACGAGGGTTGGTCAAAAGGTTCTAAGCCTGACTAACATTCAACTAAGGGCCATAACAAAGTGAACTAGTCAATGTAGTACATTGCTTGAGAAGTTCATTGCAAGTGTATTTGGTCTGTTGAGGCCGTTTGTATATTAGTGACAGCCAGTTGAACATGACAGGGGGCCAAATGGACACAAAAAGAGGAAAGAACGAGTACCCAGCAGTCATCAAGTTTTTTGACTTTAGAGAAAGTACTCACCAAGAAACTCATAACCGCATGTCACAAGTATATGGGGATAAGTGCCCTAGCTATTCCACTGTTAAACGTTGGTCAGCTATGTTTAGGTCTTGGTAGAACAAGCCTTATGACCCAAGGGGTGGACGTGACTCAACTTCCATCAATGAAGTTTCAATCAAGGAGATAGAAAAACTTATACTGTCAGACAGGCGTATTACCATTGCTGAACTTGAGGAAGACTCAGGTCTAAGCCATGGATCCATTGAAACTATTATTCATGAACATTTACAGATGAATAAGATATGTGCTCGTTTGGTGCCAAAGTTTCTAAATTCTGATCTTAAGGAAGAAAGAAATGACATAGTCAGAGAAAATGTTTAGCTAATTGAGTAGGATTCTGCCAAATTCAAAAAAGAGATTAGTAACAGGTGGTGCTATATGGGTCTACCATTATGATCCCGAGTCAAAACGTCATTCCATGGAATGGCACCATGCCACTTCTCCGGCACCAAAGAAATACAAGCCTTCAAGATCAGTGAAGACAGCTGTGGCCATTGTATTCTGGGATTCAAAGAATGTGATCCTTGTTGATTACTTAGAAAGTCAAAAGACGATTATCGGTGCTTACTGATTTGCTTCATCGCCCGAAAGATTCTATCAAAGAAAGCGGCGCGGAACGCTGACTGCTGGATTTCTTCTACTTCATGACAATGCCTCTTGTAACACCTCTCGACTTGCAAAGGCTGCCGTGCGACAATGTTGGCTCGAAGAGCTTCCTCACCCTCATACTCGCCAGACCTGGCACAAACTGATTTCCACCTTTTAACCGGGAGAACACCTTCGTGGAAAGCGCTATGACGACAACGATGACCTCAAAGCGGCTGTGAATGGGTTTTTCAGGGTGGCTTTGAAAAGCTTGACTATCGATACGAGAAATGTATTGAAAAGCTGGGAGATTATGTTGAAAAATAAAATTAAAAACGCATTCACAATTGTTTGTCTTGTTTGTTAGGCTTATAATGTTTTGACCAGCCTTCGCAGTAGCAGAGTTTACCCTAGAATCAGATGGCCTGGTGTTCGTGGTGGTTACTGATGCCAAAGAAACACAAGTTGGCATGGAAATCAAAAGGGTATTCTTTTTGAATGTTACTCTCCTTTTGGATAATGAAACAGCATCACGTGACAATGTGCTTGCCAAACTCAATGTGATTAAAAGCTGCAGGATGAATCGTTTCCGACCTGACTGTCAACTGATATAATACCCAGCGCCATGAATATTCGATCAATCGCACGTCCTGACCGATTTGTAATGACATGTACTTGGCCGTTTTGTACTGACATCGTATTTAGTCGTTTTGGTTTGACATGATACCTGCCTGTCTTGTATTTACATATTATTTGGCCGTTTGACACTCAAGGTTTTGGATTGATGTCGCACCAGACAGTCTTGGATTGACATCGTACCTGCCTGTCTTGGATTAACACATCTATTTGGCTGTCTTGGGCTGACATCAGACTTGGCTGTCTTGGGGTGACATCTTACCAGACTGTCTTGGATTGACATCGTACCTGCCTGTCTTGGATTAACACATCTATTTGGCTGTCTTGGGCTGACATCAGACTTGGCTGTCTTGGGGTGACATCTTACCAGACTGTCTTGGATTGACATCGTACCTGCCTGTCTTGGATTAACACATCTATTTTGCTGTCTTGGGCTGACATCAGACTTGGCTGTCTTGGGGTGACATCTTACCGGACTGTCGTTCGACACGTTGACACCGTTCCCGATTATATGTATCAATGTTCACCGTCACGGCACGTTGATCTTTGACCTAGTGCCGTAAAGCGTCGCTATCAACTTCGCGGATTTATGTCCTTCAGCTGTCAGGTTTCTCATGTTTCGAAACCCATATGATCCTTGCTCTGACAACATTTGTCCAGTCGCGATTGAAAACAACCGAAAACTAAATAACGTAGTCGTTGCTTCTATGTACGCCAAGTTCATAAAGAGAACCGTTTGACACAAGAATGGAATTCTCATTATTGATCTCTTTTTAAAACCTCAATACACGTACTTCAACACCTTCATTTGACAGTGTTTCCCAAAGGACTTATCTGTGACAACTGAGACAATAATGGAGGATCTCAGTTGGGTTTCGCAACTGTAAATAAACAACCACGTGCTCGTGCTGTGCAGCATTAATGCAAAATAGTCAAGCATGCTAGAGCTGGGTTTTCATTCACATAAACAATGTTATTCTGTGCAAATATTCACAGTTAACCATTAGTCGATAATGCTTGTCTGTCATATTGCGCCCTGTGTTTAGAGCTTTAATCAATAGAAGACAAGTTGATGTTTGCTCATCAAAACGTTGGTGGTGACACATTAAGTTTTCATGATGCGAGGGACTGATTTGTTGCCATAGCACACTGATAACGCAAACACGGTGGGACAATATGACATGTTATTTCAGAGATAAATATAGTTTCAGATGTGCCCTGTCACGTGGCCTTTTCTCGTTACGAAATAGAATCTACGAACTCCGATGAGTCATATATTTTTATTTTTTATTTCATGAAACCGTGTTTGAAAATTGGTAATATTGGAACGTGTATATAGCCAATCAAACTAGCGACAACAGTCAGAGGAATTATTACCCACGAAATGCGTAACGGAAATTAAATATGGGTACCCGACAGTTTTGGATCTAGCCTTGTAGGACGACGTGTTTTGCATAGAAACTTGATAGGCTGAAAGTGAGAAATATCTGTAGATATTTGGAATTAGTTAAAGATATGGAGATTATGGATAAGGATATTGATATATGGATGAGGATATGGATATATGGATGAGGAAATGGATATATGGATGAGGAAATGAGATGGATATATGGATAAGGATATGAGATATGGATAAGGATATGGATATGGATATATGGATAATGATATGGATAATGGATGAGGATATTGATATATGGATGAGGATATGGATAACGATATGGATATGGATATATGGGTGAGGATATGGATATATGGATAATGATATGAATATATGGATAAGGATATGGAAATATGGATGAGAATATGTATGTATGGATGAGGATATGGATATATGGATGAGGATATGGATAACGATATGGATATGGATATATGGGTGAGGATATGGATATATGGATAATGATATGAATATATGGATAAGGATATGGATATATGGATGAGAATATGTATGTATGGATGAGGATATGGATATATGGATGAGGATATGGATATATGGATGAGGATATTGATAACGATATGGATATGGATATATGGGTGAGGATATGGATATATGGATAAGGATATGAATATATGGATAAGGATATGGATATATGGATGAGAATATGTATGTATGGATGAGGATATGGATATATGGATGAGGATATGGATATATGGATGAGGATATTGATAACGATATGGATATGGATATATGGGTGAGGATATGGATATATGGATAAGGATATGAATATATGGATAAGGATATTGTTAGCATTGTGCGAATGGGCTAAGGGGAGTAACTGATTACCGGAAGAGTATTTACCGGAAGTGTATCGAATGTAAATAGAAATTAGATGAACGAATGGATTCGGAAGTTCCTAAGAGATAGATCGTAGGGTAAGTAATAGAATATGTGAGGTAATATTGCTAGGATATTGATGTATGGTTGTCAAGGGAGTAACGGATGTATTACAGTTAGTTTTGAGTATGAATTGAAATAAACAAGACGTGTTCTTATACTCGCTCGTTGTGTGCTGTTTACAATATGGATATATGGATGAGGATATGTATGTATGGATGAGGATATAGATAAACGGATGAGGATATGGATATATGGATGAGGATATGGATAGAAATATGGATATATGGACTGTTAGTGATATATCGAATAAATTGTCGCAGAAAATTCTTGAATTTCTTTTTTTATTATTATACTTCAGACTGTTGAAAAAAGTAACTGCCTTACACAAAACTGCAT